GATGATGTGGGTAGACTAGAATGATGACATTTCCTTTTCCACACCAGAATATCAGCAAGGTACTAATGGCTCCATTTTGATACCGTCACTTTCAAAATGACCAAGTTGCTTATGGAAACATTTTGGATTATGTTAAAAGTAGTGTAGCTTTATAATAGTTGAGCTGGTAAATAATGCAGGTTTTGCTTTTAGAGTATCAGTTTATCTCCGATCTTGGATCAGACCTAAGAGAGAAAGTCTCCAGATTTTTGTTTGCTATCTAATAAGGCCTCTGGTAGTTGGTCTCATGTGGTAGAAATACAGATTTTATTTTTTTCCTTTCTTCTTCTTCTTCTTTTCATCTGCCTCTTTGGTACTTGCTAACTTCTCCATGATTTCCACTCTCTCTACTGGCATTCCAAGGGGAGGCCTTCTGAGGTCCTTGGTTTCCTGGAATGACATTTGAGGCATATTCAAGTGCCTTACGACATTCCTGGGTTTATGTGGGTTTTGACCCACGTGGATCGGTGGTAGGTCTCTGAAAGGCACCAGCACAAAAACGACAGGAACCCTGAGGTCTGGGGTCAGATTGGGTTGAGGTTGTCCACTAGCCACTTGAAAAGACTGTCCAGGAAAGACATTGTTTAAGAGATAGCTGTCTAAAGCTGCCTGAGCTTTTATGATCTGATTCTCTTTTGTCTGGGGAAGAACATCAGTGAAATACGGCCTCACTCCTGTTATGGCATTGATTTCATATGCGTTGTGCCTGTCAGCCTGTGCTCTCCCAGTTAAAATGGGCTGGAAAACAGTTGATCCTGAGACACCACTGACAAAGTTGTTGAGGAGAGAATGCCAAATGCTACCACTTATTGGGCTCAGAATGACCTGTGGCCATAAACTGGCCAGGCTCCGGAGAGCTTCGCGGTTCCAGGCCGAGGCAGGAAATTCAGGCTCAGTGTGATAGAGCTGAGAAAAGTAAATGCTAAGAGTAACATCTGGATACATTGTTAAGAAATTGTACATTTTGCTGATGCAGCAGTGGTCGGCTTCATTACAAGGGGAGTTGCTGGAGTACAGAATGATATGCCTGATGGCGTTATTATTGCGTATGGCTGAGTCGAGATAACCATTCATCTCAAATAACATTGATTCTGGATGGGTGTTATTCCCGGTGCAACTGCTAGCGTGGCCCTTTTGCACCAGGCTTCCAGAGGAAGTTTTTAGTTCATAAAACGTGAGGTGCTTTGTTTGAGGATATGCTGGCCCATAAGGGAATCCAAAAATCTGATAAAATTCTGAATAGGGAACCCTTGCTTCTTCTCCTGTCCGAATGTGGTAGGGACAGTTAGAGCAATCTAGAGAGAAGCTTAGCCAGTAGTAAGGTTTTACAATTGTTCCATGATTTGCTAGGTATTCTTCATATAAGGGCTCCATTGCTAGTTTTATTGTCTTCTAGCTGCAACCCTAAACAAGGAAGAGAAATTATATATAAAAGCAGTGCAGGCAAAACGAAAGAAAATGCATTAACTTATTGAGCCATTACTATTTTTAATGCATTAAATGCGTTAACTTGTTGAGCCATTTATGATTTTGAGCCATTAACTTATATTTCTCTAAAGGAGGTAGAGTGCAATAGCTACAGAATCTTTGATTCTAGGACGTACTGATGTATATCCATAGATTAGAAAGCTCGGGATTCGTCTCTCTTCATTGAGAATCTTGAGGAGTGGGGAGGAAACAAAAAAGAAAGGCAAAATTATACCTTTATCTGTTTCATAGACCTGACTGAGGCAATAGAGCAAATGGGTTAACAGTGCAAGTTCTGGAGACAGACTGCCTTATTTCAAATCTGGGCTCTGTCGCCTACCAGCTTAGTGACTTTCTGCAAGTTGTTTACAGTTGGGAGTCACAGCTTCCTTGTCTGTAAAATGAGGGCAAGGGTAGTATCTACCTCCTAAGGTTTTCTCGAGGACCGAATGATGTAATCAATATAAAATGCTTTATTATGTGCATATGTATCATATTATTATATGAAGGACTCAATAAATATGAGCTGTGAGTAGTGGTAGTACAAATCCCAGGATTATCTAGATGATTCTTATTTATGAAAGTCTAAAGAAACAAGCAAGGGTTTTGCAATTTGTTCATAATGTTCTTGTCTCTTTTCTGAACGATATTATCTAATTATCTGCATGGGTTTTGAGTGTGCCTGCATTTAAAATCAGCTATTTCTTCAGATCATTGGCAGTAAATGGGAGATAAGTATCATTTTGGGAATGGGATCATGGGGTCTATTTTGCTTAATGGTAGAGACTTCTTGTAGGAATGATTATTCTTTGGGTCGTGGACACTTACTCATTGCCATCTGAGAGTTGTATTTCCAGTGGGTGGGTCTTTTTAGAACATTTTGGAAACTTTACCATTCTGGAAAGCACATATGGTCCTTTAGGATATTTCAAATAAATAGTTTCTGGGATGTTAAACTACAAAACTTAAGCTCTTTTAAGTTTTGTTTTGTTTTTCCTTTAAACAAAAATTTCTGTTACCTTTATTCCCAAAGAGCAACCTAGGGCTTTATAGTATCGTTTTAAGAACATTAAAAATTTTTTTTTAACATTTACTTATTTTTGAGAGAAAAGAGACAGAGTGTGAGCAGGAGAGGGGCAGAGAGAGAAGGAGACACAGAATCTGAAGCAGGCTTCAGACTCTGAGTTGTCAGCACACAGCCTGACGCGAGGCTTGAACTCACGAGCCATGAGATCATGACCTGGGCTGAAGTTGGATGCTGAACCGACTGAGCCACCCAGGCACACCAAGTTTTAAGAACATTAAAAAAACCCACCTTTTTGTTATACAAGTATTACATATTTCTTGTAGAATATTTTTTAAAATACTGATACTTGAAGGGAAAAATAAAAACTCATGCTGTTGTGTCTCAGTTTACATTCCCATAACTGTTTACGTGTCTCTTCCCTCTGATCTTTTTGCTACATGTGTTCGTTATGCACAACATAAATGAAATCATGTTTATACTTTGTTTTTTCACTTAGTATTACGTCATTAGCATTTCCCCGTGTTATTAAAAATTCTTCGAAAAACAGTATTCATGGCTAGTTAGTATTTTATTACACAGCTAATATGTAATCAAGTATTCAGGTGTTTGCCTCTTTTATGATTATAAATAATGATTTGATGAACATTTCTGTAGATAAATTGTATTTTTCTTTTCTCTAGTGTAGATTACTAAAAGTTGTATTGGCTCAAGCTTTGTCAGATTGATTCTTGGGAAGGTGTTCCAATTTTATTTCATTCCCTCCCTGTGATGTTTATCATTTATCAATTCCTTTGCCGATTTGAGAAGTGAGCATCGGTATCCCTTTGTGGTTATAATTTGTACCTTTTCAGTTCGTTGTGAGGCTGAATACTTTTTCACACACTTATTGGTCTGTAGTATTTATTCTTCTGTGAAATACATTTGATTCCTAACCCCCCTTTTTTGAGGTGTTCCTGACTGATTTGTAAGAACTCTTTATGTATTAAGAATATTAGCTGTTATAACTTTTGCAAGTATTTCACTTGGCTTATAGAGCCATTTAATTATGCTGGTGGCATTTTTAATTATATCAAATTTTACATTTTTATAAGGTCTAATCTTTAGCCTTAAGATTTAGTTTTTACTATTGTACTTAGAAAAGACTTCCCTATCAAAGAGGAGTTAAATCCCCATATATTTTTCTAGAATATATATCTTTTACATTTAACTCTCTGTCCAGGCAACAAAATGGACAAAGTAGAAAATTTAAATGAGATAAACTGACCATTATAAAACAAACAAAATGACACATTTTGTCATTTTAGAAGTACTTATTACAGCCTTTCATATGGAAGCACTTTGATCAACTTCTTTCTTTTTCAACCCATATCACCTCCGTTCCTGTTCTTTTGGTACAGCTGAAGCCTACAGAGTTCCTTTGCTAACCCTGTCCCGGGCAGAAAATATTTTAGGAGCCCCAGGCCTGCTGTGGATGGAATGTGACTTCACTCATCTCACCATTATCCTAACGGCGTGTATCGGCAGTAATTCTGGACACCACACACCCATCAAATTCCAGGTTTCTCCTAATCTGTCGTGTCAATTTAATCCATAAGAGCAGGTATCTGCCTCAGTTTCCTCCTCAGTGCTATATTTATTTTCCTGATGCAACTGAATCCCTGTCCTGAGGCTTCCTAGACCTCATAACTTTTCCCCAGGGCCCTGCATTCTTCCTGTTTTGTCCTTGGCAATGAATCCATTACCTGGAGCCTGACATCATCTCCTGCTTGATCCTGAGCATTGTTTTCTCCCTGGATCTCCTCCTCTTTCAGCCTTACTCATCAGACTATATCTCTCTGAATATTAAACCTTGCTGAAACCCAACCCAAAGTCTCACTTGCTCCTGGTGCCCTGGATGTGGTCTGCTGTTCAGTGGCACAGCTGATATTCAAGTTACTACTCAAATGACAATTTCAAGTCATGCATGATTTGGGTAAGATGTTATAGAAGCAGTATCAAGAGGTCCTTTTCTGCCTTTGTGTTTTGGGGGTGGGTGGGATGGGTGGAGTTAACTATATGTAATGGTCCCAGAATTACCCTTATGGGAAGCATAAGTCTGTGCATGTTTCAAAGTAAAGGCAGTATGGAAAGTCCTGATTGCTTTTCTAAGTACTCCTTTCTTTTTGCTCCCTCTCCCATTTTAGCCAGGAATGGTGCATTATTACTGTAAGGAGATCTTGAGGACTAGTGGCCTTTATATGTAATGGAGGGAGCTCTGGAGTTTCATTCTTGCTAAATGGCTTTTTAGTGTTGACCAACTGTGGTTCTCTATTGGTGAAGTCTTCAATTTTTCAGAGGGTTTTTCTTTTCTTTCTTTCTTTCTTTCTTTCTTTCTTTCTTTCTTTCTTTCTTTCTTTCTTTCT